CATGGGAAGGGAAAGGAGCCTCTCACCCTGGAGTCTGCTTGAAGCTTCTCACCAGTTGAGAGTTAAGGATTTCAGCACAATTAACAATATTCACTGTAAAGGTTACCTACATAGAGATAATATCCTTTTTATATAACGTAATTCAAATAAGAATGTTTAAATAGCAATGAACCTTGCTTAAGGCCTAAGTGTATATGACCTTTCTCCATTCCCAGCTGTAAACCTGCAATTTCCTAGGAGTCTCACAAGAAACTCCATTTACAATAAAAGACCTGTCTTTACCCCCTTGTATAACCCTTGTGGCTCATGGTTTTATCGATATTAGATTATCCCATCCAAGGCCCTCTGGAGCCACCCTGTATTCTCACTAACGAAAAAGAGGCAGGGAAGAGGGCTGGCTGACAAGATGGCTTACTGGGTAAAGACACTGGCCGCCAAGCTTGATAATCTGAGTTCGGTCTCTGGGACTTACATAGTGGAAGGGGAGAACAGAAAGGGTGTACTGTGGCATGTATTCACATAACCCCATAAATAAATGTAATAAAAATTTTATAAGGGAAAAGGGAAAAACTTTTTTAGCAACCATTTGAATGATAATTTTAGAGTTATCAAGGTAGTATATATAGCTACTGCTAAGACACTTAAGCAAAACTCTCCTTTGAGGAGCCCATGCCCAGACTCTTGGGTGTATCTTATTCTTTCCCTAAGCACCTTTATTAACCCCATACTTAAAATCTGTTAAACTTTCTCCTTTATTTTTTACATTTATTTATTTGATTAAATTAATCAATTAATTATGTGTGTGTTATATGTGTGGGCATACTCATGTCATAATGTGTGCATGTGGAGGTCAGAGGACAACATTCAGGAGTTGATTCTCTCCTTCTACCAAGTGAGTTCCAGGGACTGAACTCAGGTCATTAGGCTTGGCAGCAAGCACCCTGTTCTAGTTTGCTATTGTGTTGCTGTAATAAACACTGTGGTGCTTTGAAAGAGAAGTGTCCCCCACTCAAGTATTGGAACATTTGGCCCATTGCTGATGCTATTTATGGAGGGTCATGGGATCTTCAGGAGGTGCAGCCTAGTGGAGGAAGCACATCATTGGGGGTGGGCTGTGAGAGTTCATAGCCTTGCCCCACTTCCAGTTTCTCTCTCTGCTTCCCATTTGCCATTGGAGATGCGAGGTCTCAACTTTCTTTGATTCTGTTTCCATGCCTCCTGCTTGTTGCCATGCCTCTCCACCAGGATGGACTCTTAGCCCTCTGGAATCATAAGCCCAAATAAACTTTCTTCCATAAATTGCCTTGGTCCCAGGCTCATAGTCAACTACCTTTCTGCCGAGGCCTACTTGCCCAGGGATAGTACTGCCCAGAGTGGGCTGGGCCCTCTTATATCACCTTGTAATCAAGGAAATAACCCCACAGACATGCCCATGAGAAGTTCAATTGAGGTTTCCTCTTCCCAGATGTGTCAAGTTGACAACCAAGATTAGCCGTTACATGCTCTTACCCTCTGAGCCATCTTGCCAGTCCTAAACTTTCTTCTTAATAAATGCATTGGCTCCCCCGGAACTGGAGATATGGATGGTTGCTAGCTGCCATGTGGATGCTGGGAACTGAACTCGGGTCCTCTGCAAGAGCAGCCAGTGGTCTGGTCTTAACCTGAGTCATCTCTCCAGCCCCAGTAGCCCATTTATTGATTGAGTTGTTTAATGTCTTGTTCTTGAGTTCTTTGTATATTCTAAATATATTCTAAATATTAATCCTATGCAGATGTGTATCTAGCAATGATTTCCTCTCATTTTATAGGCTGCCTCTTCACTTGTGCAGAAGCCTTTTAATTACATGTGGTCCCATTTGTCGATTGTTGGCATTTTCAGTAAGTCCTTGCCTATGCCTTTATCCTGAAGTGTTTTCCTTGCTTTTTCCTAAAACACTTTCAGAGTTTTAGGTATTACCTTAGGGTCTTTGATCCATCTGAAGTAGATTTTTTTACAGGATGAGATAGAGGATATATAGAATATAGTTTCATTCTTCCTCATGTCAATATTCAGTTTTCCCTATACCATTTGTTGAAGAGGCTGTCTTTTCTCCAAAGCATATTTTTGGCCCCTTTGCCAAAAATCCACTGGCTGTACCTACATGAGTTTATATCTCGGTCTTCTAGTCCATTGATCTATGTTTCTATTTTTCAGCTAGTACCAAGCTGTTTTTGTTACTGTAATACAACTTTAAGTCAGATATGGTGATATCTCTACATTATTCTTTTTGCTCAGGATTGCTTTAGCTATCCCTGGTCTTTTGTGTTTCCATATGACTTTTAAGATTAAAAAAATATTCTGGAAATGCTCATGTTAATCCATAATCCATGAATCATGAGAAGTCATGAAGTTATTCAGGTTTTCATATGCAGACATTTCTCAATGACCTGAACTTCTCACATTTCTTTGGCATTTGAAAAATAAAAGCCATGAGACTGGGATGTGGTTCAGTAATAGAGTACTAGCCTAGAATTCCCCAGGGAGGGACTGGGGGCATAGATCAGCGGTGGAGCACCTGCCTAGCATATGTGAGGCCCTGGAATTCAGCCCAGCACCTCAGAAGAAAACTAACTAAAAAATGAAGACCCATATTACATCCTTCCACTCACATCCCTAGAGTCCCTCAAAAGGCGTGAGTCACCCTGCAAGTCTTCACCCTGCAAGTCCTCAAGACTCCTGCATTTTGGATAAAGTTCTTCCTCTATGTGAGGATCTCATGGGACATGAGTTGTCCCCAGATGCAGGTTTGGGGTGCTCATTCTGTGGCCAGCTTTAGTGGCCAAGGACTAGATCCATGCAGCCCTGGTGGTAATGCTGGGCAGGAGTGGTAGGTCTGTGAGTACCCCCTGCTCCCTGCAGCCAGCTCCCCATTCAGGACCTCCAAAGGCCATCCATCCCTCCCAAGTCAGGTATGGTAGCAGCAGTTTGAGGGGCTAGGGCAGAAATAGAGGCTACAGATTATATTTGTTCAGCACCAGCAGGAGGTGCTGGTTGCAGTCATCCATGCTCCCGGCTCCTAGGGAGTATCTTCCAGCTGGAAGCAGACATCCAACATTACCAGAATGACATTAACCTGCTCCAGCCTCTTACAGGCATCCTACACACCCTCCTGCTACACCATTCCTATCCTTTCCTTCAACCTAGCTACATTGCTTAACAATGCCAGGAAACTGGCCAGGTCCACAGGGGTCATCAGCACATTACAAGTGGTCCCTGGCTCGGGAGATAGGATGCACACAGACTTCCAGCTGAGTTTGTGAATTTTCTGTGGTTTCTCTTGCTGTTGAATTTTAACTTCATTCCATTGTGGTCATATAGAAAACAAAAAGCTGTTTGAATATTTCTGTATTTGTTGAGACTTGCTTTCTATCCTATTATATGATCTATTTTAGAGAAGGTTCTATAGGCCATTGAGAAGAATGTGTATTTGGATGGAATGCTCTGTAGATGCCTGGTCCATTTAATCTAAGATAGCATTTAACTCAGATGTTTCTCTGTTTCTGTTCTGTGGGGATGACCTGGCTATTGGTGAGAGTGGGGGAACTGAACTCAGTATTGTGTTGGGGTCGATCTCTGTCTTTACCTCTAGTAGTGTTGAACGCACTTATGTTCAGTGTATACATATGTTCAGAATAGCTATGTCATCTTATTGGAGTGTTCCTTTCATCAGTATGAAGTGACTTTCTTTCTCTCTTTTGACTAATTTTGATTCGAAGTATATTTTGTCAAATATAAGGACAGCAAAACCTGCTTATTTCCTAGGAAAATAATATTTCCTTTTTTCACCCTACAACTGTACCCTTCTTTGATGGTGAAATGTAGTTCTTGGAGGCAACAAATAGATGGATTCTGATTTTTAACCTTGTCTCTTAGTCTTTTATGTGAGGAATTGAGACCTCTGCTATTCAGAGTTCCTATGGAAAGGTATGCATTAGTTCCTGTCATTCCGCTGATTTTGTCGCATTTGGTGTTTCCCATCTCTCATTTGCTTGACTGCTATTCTAGTGTGATTTATTCCTTCATGTCCCCTCATAGTTTTTCTTTCTCTATGTACAGAAGGTTCATTTGAGTATCTTCTGTAGAGCTGGCTTAATGAATTCCTTTAGTCCGCGTATGGAAAGTTTTTATTTGTCCATCAACTGTGAGAGTTAGTTGTGTGGGTATAGTAGTCTGGGTTGGCAGTTATTATCTTTCATTGTTTGAAATACATCATTCCAAGGCTTCTGAGCTTTGAAAGTTCCTGTTGAAAATAATTATTCTGAAAATTTTTAGATCAGACATTGTATCCAGCCACTTGCCACTATAAATTATAAATGATAACTTTTTCAATGTAGCCATATAAAATGTAGGCAAAAGAAATGCCTACTTTAAAATATTTATTACTGGGCATGGTGATGCACACTTTTAATTCTGGCACTGGGGAGGCAGAGGCAAGTGAATCTCTGAGATCAAGGCCAGCCTGATCTACATAGTGAGTTTTAGGCTACCTGGAGCTACAGGGAAATCCTGTATTTGAAAAGGAAAAAAATTATTAGAGTGTGTGTATGTGTGTGTGTGTGTGTGTGTGTGCCTGTGGTTATGTGCACCACATTCTTGCAGGTGCTTGCAGAGGTCAGAGTGCATTGGATCCCCTGGAACTGGAGTTCCAGGTAGTTGTGAGCTGCCTGATATGGGTTCTGGGAACCATTTCTCCAGCCCCAGAAATGTCTACTTTTACTTTCCAGAGGATAAACAATGAAACGAGCTGTAGTCAGTTATTTGTACTATGCTTAATTACTTAATTTCAGAATACTTTATAGGTCAACTTAGTAATTACTGAGTGGTAGAATTATTTGATTTTTGTATATATTCAAAAACAATTCAGAGGTAGTCAAAATAGTAGAACACACTTGCATAACTAATTGCTTTTCTCTTTCCCTTTTTCTTGTGTGACATGCCTTTCCACATTTCCCCCTGCTAGGGTCTGTGGTTCCAGGGGCTGGGGCAGTAGAAGTAGCACTAGCTGAAGCTCTTATTAACTATAAGCACAGTGTTCAAGGAAGAGCTCGTCTTGGAGTTCAGGCTTTTGCTGATGCCTTATTATTCCCAAGGTACATCCATCCTCCTGGCCAGATAACAACTGGTTGGACCTGAAGATACTTGATTTTGGATTGCCCATCTGTGCTGGATAGCTTTAGTTATTGACTTGATACACCTGGTTAGAGGGATCCTCATTTGAGGAATTTCTCCATTGGATTGTCCTGTGGCCATGTCTGTGAGACATTTTCTTGATTGTTGAGTGATGTGGGAGGGCCCAGCCCACTGTATGTGGTGCCACCCCATGCAGGTGGTCCTGTATCTTATAAGAAAGCAAGTTGAGCACAGGCCAGGGGAGCAAGCCAGTAAGCAGCTTTCCTCCATGGTTTGTGCTCCAGGTTCTTACCCTGAGTTCCTGCTTTGGCTTCCCTTGATGATGGACTGTGCTTGTAAGCCAAATACACCCTTTCCTCCCCAACTTGGTTTTGATCAGTGTTTTTTAATCACAGCAATAGAATGCTAAATAAGACACCATCTTACCTAACAAGCATGTTTATTTGCATTTCCCATATGATTTTTTATTAAATATTTTGTACATGCAACAGAGAAACTATAGGGATAATAGCATAGACTCCATTTGGAGCATCAGGAAGCAGTCAGCTTTTTCCCTGCATTCTTGCTTCAAAAGTTGAAGTATCTCCAAAAGTTCCCTGCAGAAACAGTTTGTCATTGACCAATCCTAATGAAAATCTCAGAACTTAAATTTCAACTTGATTTTAGCATAGATCTTTATTTTGTTGGTTGTATCCAAAATGCTATTACTTTCAATTTAATTTTTCAAAAGACTTTAATTCTTAATTTTTTAATGTGTTATGAGTGGATTGCTTGCATGTAAGTGCATCCAAGTTGTGCAATCCCTGTAGAGGTCAGAGAGGGTATTGGATTCCCCTGGAACTACTGGAGGAGTTATAGATGGTTGTCATCTGACATGTGGGTGCTGGGAAACAAACCCTGGTCCTCTTCAAGAGCAGCTAGTGCCCTTAATCGCTGAGCCATCTCTCCAGCCCCCAAATGCTATTACTTTCAAGTATGGGAAATGAAGGACTTCAAGATGTTTAGCATTGCCCAATACTGCTAGCTTGCATTTGTTTGTCATAATTTCTAGAAAAAGAAGCTTTTTTCTCCATGGAGCAATAGGACGGAGAACTATCCTCCCCGTCTCCTTACTGTCCTTTAGTTGTTAACCACTTAAAATTACAGAAAGCTGTTTCAAGTATGCTGAGTTAAAACATTATGACGATGCTAGTAAAGACTTAAATAATCTGTATTAAAATTATTCATTATTTGGGCCGGAGAGATGGCCCAGTGGTTAAGAGCACTGGCTGGTCTTATAGAGGACACAGGTTCAATTCTCAGCACCTACATAGAGGCTAATAACCATCTGTTACCATCCAGGGGAATCTGATGCCCTCTTCTGACCTCCGCAGATGTTGTATGACATGGGTGCGTTCACATACAGGCAGGTAATACACTCATACACATAAAACAAAAATAATAAATAAAATATTAAAAATAAAAAAATAAGTCATTTATAATTTGTGGGTTGTTTGTGAGTCAGATATCTATTTTTTCTTTCTCCAAAGTAGTAAAGTCACTAAGTAATGATGCTGCTCTTGACACAAATTGGTGGCACTGGTGTCCAGTGGTGATGCCTGTTCTTCACCAGCTGTTAGTCTGGAAATTAGCCAGGTATAGAGTACAGGCATATCCATCCCAGTTGTCCAGGTTGTGGTTATCTTTGTGAAGTTGAGCGCCATACAGGTGCTCCAGATATGCTGGTTTTTCTTTAGCAAGTGCCTAGGAAGAAATGGAGGGCATGTGGCTAGAGGGACTAGAGGAAAGAAGAACCATCTTTAAAAAAATGTGTTATTTTTCTTTTATGTGTATGAGTATATAGCCTGCATTCATGTAAATGCACTCATGTCATGCAGTGCCCCCAGAGGTCAGAAGAGGATGTCGGATCCCCTGGAACTGGAATTATGGACAGTTAGTTTCCATGTGGGTGCTGGTTATGTGGGGCGCTCTGCAAGAGCAGCCAATGCTCCTAACTCTGAGCCATCTCTCCAGCCCCCACGAGAATCATCTTAAATCTCTTTGTAAGGAAGTAAATAAGCTGGGTGTGGTGGTGCATGCCTGTAATTCTGGCAGTTGGGAGTGGAGGCAGGAGGATCAGGAGTTCAAGATTAGTTTTAGCTACATAAGAAAATAAGGAGTTTGATTGAGACCAGTTTATGCTATACAAGACCTTGTCTCAAAAAATAAAGCAAAACAAACAACACACACAATAAAAAAGGAGGGGAAAGAAATGTTTTGAGTGCAATGGAACTCTGGTGTCCTCAGAAATTAGTGTAATATTTATAGGGAAAATGTATAAAATTTGCTACATACATAGATAAAACAGTACTTTAATACTTTAAGTTAAGAATGGAATTCTAGCTGGGCGTGGTGTGGTGCATGTCTGTAGTCCCAGCACTTGGGAAGGCGGAGGCAGGTGGATCTCTGTGAGTTCAAGGCCAACCTGGTCTACATAGTGAGTTCCAGGCCAGCTGGGGCTACAGGGAGATCCTGTCTCAAAAAGACCAAAAAAAAAAAAGGAATTCTAAAGGATATAATTATTATGGTTATGTTTTCACAGGACTAGAGAGCAGTGTCTTATTTTATTTATTTATTTATTTGTTTGTTTGTTTGTTTGTTTGTTTGTTTGTTTGTTCGAGATAGGATCTCACTATATAGTCCCAACTGGCCTGGACCTTGCTATATATACAAGGCTAGCCTCAATCTCACAGAGATCCACTTGCTTCTACCTCCCAAGTCCTGGGATGAAAGGCATGTGCTGCCACCAGCTAGTGCCTTATTTTTATACTTGATTTTCAAATATGTGTGCGAAGGTATTTAACACATTTATTGTTTTTTATTTATAAAGGTTCTTGCTCAGAATTCTGGTTATGACCTACAGGAAACACTGATAAAAATTCAGACCCAGCATGCAGAATCAAAAGAACTTGTGGGCATAGACGTGAATACAGGTAAGGAATCAGAGGTAAATCGGCTGCTTAATAAAGAGCTTATCCGGCAGAAACTCAGATATTATAATAAGGGAGTAGTAGATTAGGCCACTTTATTATTTACTTTTGAACATCTTAGAGTATTTAAGAAGTGCTTATCAAACCGGGCATTGTGGTACACACCTTTAATCTCAGCAGAGGCAGGTGGATCTCTGTGAGTTCGAGGCCAGCCTGGTCTGCATAGTGAGTTCCAGGCCAGCTGGAGCTACAGGGAGACCACGTCTCAAAAAAAAGAGAAGTGCTTATCGAGTCAGCTTTGTCAGAAATACTTGTGTCTCCATGTTTACTGCTGCACTATTCACAGTAACTTGAACCAATCTAGCTGTCCAGCAACAAATGAATGGATAAAGGAGATAAAGGAAATGTGGTGCAGGCAAGGGTCATTGAGATGGTTAGTGGACAAAAGCACTTGCTGTGGAAGCCTGATGACCTGAGTTTGATCCCTGGCATCCACGTAAAAAAGCTAAAGGAATGTTGGCAACTGATTTCTAGATGAGGAAGAGCTGATCTTCCTAAAACAAGGGACTCTAGATAGGCTGGCTAGACTCAGCAAATGGACTTGCACTGGGGAACGGCTGGGGACACTGACAACAGAGTGGACAGTAACAGGGATGACAGAGTGTATGGGCTGCAGTGGAGGGGGAGGCTATGGGAGGGTGCCATTTGGGATGCAGATATAAAGATGAGTAAGATTGTTTGGGATGTTCTGTATGAAATACACACATAAAAAATCAATTGAAAAAAAAAGGCTAGAAGTGGTGGCACGTATCTGTAATCCCAGCACTCCCATAGCAAGACAGAAATTCCCTGAAGGCTCAAGGGCCAGGGAACCTAGTGTGCATACACACAGCATAAATAAAACAAAATAAAAATGTAGTATATGTACACAATAAAATTTAATTCAGCCATATAGAAAAATGAAGTCATGACATTTGCAGGAAAGTAGATGAAAGTACAAATCATTATGTTAGGCAAAATAAGCCATTCTCAGAAAGACAAACTCATGTGTTTCCCCTCATATGCAGAACTTAGATTTAAAATTGTGAAGTGTGTGTGTGTGTGTGTGTGTGTGCGTGTGTGTGAAAACTAGAAAGGAGATCATGAGAGGAAGAGAACTTGTAGGGGAAGAGGGTAATGGAATACATGTCACAGGAAGCAGAAGGGAGACTTCTTGGCCAGAGGATGGGCAGGGCTTATGGGAAGAGAGCAATGGGGAAGGGAGATGAATTAGAAAAAAACTATAATGACACATATGTATGAAAACACCATAATAAAACCCATTCCTTTGTATGCTAACTTAAAAAGAGAGTGGGTTCTGGGGATCAAATTCAGCCCCTTGTACCCGCACAGCAATGATTTTCTCCAGTCTACACCACCCTCCCCTCCAGTGGTTTCACACTGGACACAATAAACAATAACATGCCTCTGTGAGCTTCTCATATAGCGGGTGAAAACAGCAAGAGTAACCTTAAGTTCCTTTAGCAGCTGAGAAAACAATAAACTTGGTAAAAAATAAAACAGCAATGTAAAGATGATCACGGGTGCTAATTCAGGAGGGTAAGAAGGGGTTACAAAGGAAAGCTTGTACTATATAAACTGGGAAAATATTTGCTGAGGAAGTTGAAGGAAGCGAGGAAGTTATCCATGAAGGGGAAGGGGATTGAGTATTCTAGGGAGAGGGAAGAGCCGGCAGAGCAGGAAGGAGGTGATAGAGGAGACAGGTTAGATCACACAGCATGTGGGCTCGTCTAAGGACTTAGGCCTCTTTTTTATCCTTGCAGTGAAATATGGAGCACTTTTGAGCAGAAGTATGACATGGTCAACTTTGTTTAAAACCATCATTCTGGCCACTCTCCACTCTGGAGAGGAGTTGGCTCAACAACTAGAAGGTTGAAATGGCCGCTAACTACTGAAGAAGACTAGATAGAGCTGGTTGTGGGTTGAGGGAACAAGAAGCTCTGAAGTTTCTGTAGTCTTCTGGGAACACTAACCAGTTTGATATATGAATCTGGAGCTCAAGGGATATGGGTTAGAAGTAAACACTTAAGAGTTGTCACCTAAGAAATATGTGTGTAGAGAGAAGGGAAGTCTTGGACTGAACCTTTGGGGACGCCAACATTAAGAGCTCACAGAGGAGGAGGGGCCACTAGCATAAAAGAAAAAGTAGTTTGGTGTCCTGGAAGCCAAGAGGAGGTAGTTAGAAGGGTGTGGTGAGTGTGTCTCGAGTGCTGCTGGTGGATGAGGCCTGGGTTGGCCACTGAAGCTAGCAACACGGAGGTCACGGGCAACTTTGACAAAAGTAGTTCTGGAGCATAAATACTGTTAGACTACACCAACCAACATTGATAGGATATGAAGATTGTAGTACTAAAATGGGTTGTTGGAGGTGGGGCAGAGAGGCTGTTCAGCAGTCCAGAGCACTGGCTGTTCTTGCAGTAGACCTGGGTTCTGTTCCCAGCACCCATATGGCAGCTAGCCACCATCCATAACTCCACTTCCAGGGGGATCTGACACCCTCTTCTGGCCTCCACAGGCACTGCATACATGTGGTACACTTAAATACATGTAGGCATAACACTCAAACATATAAAATAAAAATAAATGAAATTCTTAAAAAATAAAATGGGTTTTTACTTTGCAGGGGAGCCAATGGTAGCAGCAGAAGCAGAAGTTTGGGATAATTACTGTGTGAAAAAACATCTTTTTCACTCTTGGTAAGTTGGTAGTGACAGAGAAGGATCTTTAAGGATATAATTGATAACTTTGAAATTTTCCTGCCAGCTTTGTTTTGAACAATTGTCAAGTATATGACATTGTGTGATAACCAGCTATTAACACTAGCTTCTGTCATTTTACAATCCCCTTCACATTTTATTTGTAGCAGTGTAAGTTACAGGGAGTTAACCTTGACCTTACTGTTTGAGTGCGAAGGGAAAGAAGATGCTACTAAAATAGTACAATCTGTAGAGAGGGGAATCAAGTGACATAATAAAATTAAGCAGTTTTGCTGGGACAGAAATTAGGCTTCTACCTTGTCAGTGAAGGAATTGAGGTGACAGGAATGATGTTTGCATCTATAATATTTTTGTTTCATAAATTTAACTCCACTGTAGCTGAAGGGAAAGGTACCCTGGACCATGAAAGATAGCTGGGGAAAGGCGGGCACAGGTTAGGAGGCTGACTTTCTCTCATCTTTGTCCTCAGCACAGTGATTGCCACCAACATCCTCCTGGTTGATGAAATTATGCGAGCTGGGATGTCTTCTCCCAAAGACTGATTGCATCTCAAATCAGTGCACCTCATATCCAACTGTATGGTTGTGTCATTCTTATTGTTCCAAAATAAATGTGGCATGTATCTTTTGATCTCAACTATTTCAAAAACACCTCATTACTGTACAAAGAACACAAATATTTTCACAGTAAAGGAATAATGATGGGAATATTTACTGAGTCTTAACTTCCCACCCTGTAAGATATGCTATTTCAGTTCTCATAAAACAAAATCTATTATGATTCTTCAGCTTTCTAAGCACAGGTTTTAGAGTACCCGAGTAAATTTCCAGTTTATGAGAAATTATAAATGTAGCAAGATAAAATCTTTTCTCTCAAAAGTCCTTAAGTAATTTCTTTTTTAAAAAATTATTTTGTCATTTTTATTTTATGGGTATGCATGTATTGCCTGCATGTATGTAAGTGCACTCATGTTGTGCAATGCCCTTGGAGGACAGAAGAGGCCATCGGATCCCCTGGAACTGGAGTTACGGACAGTTGTTAGCTGCCATGTGGGTGCAGGGATGCAAACCCAGGTCTTCTGCAGGAACAATCAGTGTTCTTAACCACTGAGCCAACTCTTCAGTCCCCACTTTCAGTAATTTCTTATTGCCACTCTTTTACAAAATAAGGCATCATTTTGTAAGTATAAGTTTGTATTTATTTAAGATACATCTTTTTATTTATTTTTAATAATTCATTATTTTTATTTTATGTGTATAAGTGTATTGCCTGCATGTATGTGAGTGCACCCGTGTCATGCAATGCTGCGGAGGTCAGAAGAGGGCTTCGGATTCCCCTGGAACTGGAGTTAAGGACGGTTCATAGCCACCATGTGGGTGCTGGGAATCGAACCCGGGTCCTCTGCTAGAGCATTCAGTGCTCTTAACCGCTGAGCCATCTCTCCAGCCCCTATTTATCTTTTTAAATCTTAGACAAGGTCTGACTATGTAGCTTGGGCTGGCCTGGAATTTAGACTCTTCCTACTTGAGCTTTCCGAGTGCTGGGGTTATAGCCTCGTTCTTTTTCAATAGCCTGTGCTACCATACTAACTCTCATAACTCTGACTAGATGGGAAAGATGGTCTCACCTGGAAAGGGATTGTTAGTGTCACAAAATAATTGTTTTTGGTTCAAATGCAGCTCTTCCATATAGATATAATACCGACATCTGTTTGTTCAAAGTTCCACAACTATTCTATTGTACTTATTATCCTTGTCCATGTCCTTTGCGTGGAGCCAAGTTGATTGGGTATTAAAATCTCGGGGGCATTAATGGAACTTTGGCCTCTTTATACATGCAGAAGATTCCTTTGATCATTTAATGCCATAATTGAAAACCTACACTTTTATAACCTATTTTATTTTCACTTAATATGTTGTCAACATCTTTTCAAGTCAGTGATTACACTTCTTAACTTTCTTAAATGATATTTCTTTGTATGACTACACTTCAATTTAATTTACTAGTTCTATTTTAAAGTTCCATTATGGGGACTGGAGAGATGGCTCAGAGATTTAGAGCACTGGCTATACTTGCAGAGGACCTGGATTCAATTCCTAGCACCAACATGGCAGCTAATAATTTTCCATAACTCCAGTAACAGGGGAATCCAACACTTTCTTCTGACCCCTGCAGACACTGCATGACACGGGGTGCACTTATACATGTGCAAGCAAAATATAAAGATATTTAAAGTTCCATTATGAGCAATGATCTTACATCTCTATTCTGTAATGCAGGCCTTTTAATATGCTATATCATGTGTATTGAAAAACATTATTTTTTTTATTTTTTAAAATTTTTGGGAAAGAGTCTTACACTATAGATAGCCCAAGCTAGCCTAGAACTCACTATTGTAACCCAGGCTGACCTAGAGCTCTCAAAAGTCCTCCTATTTCAGTCTCATAAGTGTTGGGCTTATAGGTGTGAGCCACCATGCTTGGCTCTGTAAGACCTTTTCTATATAAAATGTTTAAATCATGAGAAAAAATAATAGAGATGTAATCTTGTTATATAGCCTAAGCTGGCCTTGAACTCACACTCCTTTCTTGCTTCTGCCTTGCAAATGCTGGGATTATAGTCTTGTGCCATCACACCTGGCTGAAATGTTTTAAGTATACCAAAAAGACTAGAAATAATGTGATGCCTTTGTACCCTCCATTAGCTTTAAGAAGTAGTAACATTTTGCTATGTTTGCTTTGGATTTTATTTAGAGAAGTACAAAAATAAAGTTGTTAAGGGGTTGGAGAGATAGCTCAGTTGGTAAAGCTCAAGGATCTGAGTTGAATCCCCTTGTAAAAGTGCCTGGCATGGGTGCACTGCGGCTGTTATCTCAGCACCACGGAGGCAGAGACAGGAGGAAGAGGTTCTCTGGGGATTGCTAGCCAGCCAGTCTAGTCAGCCTAGTTCTAGGTGAGCTACAAACAATGAGAGATCCTGTCTCAAGGGAGGTGGATGGTGTTCCTGAAGACGGCATTCAAGGTTGTCCTTTGGCTTTCATATGCATACGCCATATGTGTATCTATACCCATGCACATATACATGCATATACATGCATTAAAAATGTTTAAGTACCACCTGTCTTTTATCTCATCATATGTTTTTCCTACCCTCTTTAGAGGTAATCTTTTACTCCCATGCAGTTTTTAAAAAAAAACAATATGTATGCATATCCCTGTGACATTATGAAACATTCTTTTTAGTTTTAAAATCTTTTAATTTTTAGTTTTTAGTTTTTTTATTATGGGTGTTTGTGTGAATGTGTATGCCACATGTTTGTGGAAGCCAGAAGAGGACATCAGATTCCCTGTAGCTGGAGTTACAGTTGTTTGTGAGCTGTATAATGTGGGTGCTGGGAACTGAACTCCCGGTTTCTGGAAGAGCAGGGAGCGCTCTGTCCTAGTTGGCTTTCTATTGTGATAAAACCCTTTAATCAAGGGCTGGTGAGATGGCTCAGAAGTTAAGACCACTGGCTGCTCTCAGCATCCACATGGCAGCTAACAACTATCTGTAACTCCAGTTCCAGGGGAATTCAATGTCCTCTTATGTTGTACATAAAGCATTGTACAACATGGGTGCACTTACACATATGTAGACAATACATTCATACACATTGGAAAAACAAAAAAAAACATTCTAATCAAAACCAATCTGACTTATTTGACTTTCATGTCCTGATCACAATTCCTCATTGAGGGAAGCCAGGGCAGGGATTTGGAGGCAGGAACTGAAGCATGGACCATGGAGGAATGCTGCTTACTGGCTTGCTTCTCTGGTCACCACCCACAGTAGTCTAGACTACTAGTGATATGATGTTGAGTGATGTCTAGAGCCACTATGCTTGGCTCTGCAAGACCTTTTCTATATAAAATGTTTAGCTCATGAGAAAAAAATAATAGAGATATAATTTGTTATATAGCCCAAGCTGGCCTTGAACTCACACTCCTTTCTTGCTTCTGCCTTGCAAATACTGGGATTATAGTCTTGTGCCATCACACCTGGCTGAAATCACTCAACAATCAAGAAAATGGCTCACAGACTTGATCAGAGGCCAATACAATAGAGATAGTCCCCAGTTGAGGCTCTCCTTTCCAGGTGTGTCAAATTGACACCCAAAGCCAACCATGACATGCTCTTAACTGCTGAGCCACCTCTTCAGCCTCTCAAAAAATATGTTATTGCCAGGCATGGTGGTGCATGCCTTTAAACCCAGCACTCAGGAGGCAGAGGCAGGTGGATCTCTTGAGTTTGAGGCTAGCCTGGTCTACATAGGGAGTTCCAGGCCAGCTAGGGTTACAGGGAGACCCTGTTTCAAAAATACCAAAAAAATTTTATTTTTATTTTATGTGTATAAATGTATTGCCTGCATATAATAAGTGCCATCAGTGCTGTGCAATGCCCATGGAGGCCAGAAGAGGGAGTCAGAGTCAGATCCCCTGGAACTGGAGTTACAGATGGTTGTTAGCCACCGTATGGGTGCTGGGAACAAACCTGGGTCTTCTGTAAGAGCAGCCAGTGCCCTTCACCTCTGAGCCATCTCTCCAGCCAGCCCCTAGCCTCTCTTTTTAGGTTTTTCAAATGTGAGATGAGTCTGTTGATATACTTTTTTTGTGGTTTTTATTTCCCACTTAATGGTGCTGCATTTTATCCATTTTAGCTATTTCTGAGTACTTCAGTGCATTTCTTTTTATTTATTTTTTTTAAAAATTAGCTACCCATAGCCGGGTGTGATGGTGCATGCCTTTAATCCCAGCACTCAGGAGGCAGAGGCAGGCGGATCTCTGTGAGTTCAAGGCCAGCCTGGTCTACATAGTGAGTTCCAGGACAGCTGGGGCTAGAGGGAGACCTTGTCTCAAAAAGACCAAAAAAAAAATTAACTTCCCACACTGATTTTATCCCTAGGACTTCAGTTAGGTTATTTACATTTCAGGGGCACAAGTGAAGGTACACTGGGGCTGTAGAAGAGCAATCAGAAAATGATGGAAAACCTCTAGGTGTCTGGGCACGGGAAAGGTCCACCGTCAAGGCCTGGTGCCCAGGACCATGTGTGGAGTCAAGACCACAGCTGGACATCAAGTGAAATGGGAAGTACATTATTGAGAATCAGTCCTCCCAAGACTAAGTCCAACACAGAGGCAAAGCCACAGCCATGCACAGCTTGGGACCTCTGGGAGGATGCTGTGCTGAATGCAGCTACTCAGAGAAGGCCGACGTTGCTGCTCCACATTGGAAGTCCTCCATCTTCTCCTCTGCTCTACCCTTAGCCCACTGCGAAAGGAATCATGGCTTATGATTGAGGACCACAACTCCAACTCACAGGAAGGGATCACAGCTCTATTGAATTTTTGTCTTTTGAAATGGTGTAATATGGGAAGATACATACAGACATACAGACATACAGACATATAAGTAATGAGATGTACTCATATATTCTGTATCTCAAGAAATAAATTTCTACTTAATAAAGATATTTCTATGTTTTATGATTATTTTGTTTTTTCACATTCACTTTTGTGTGAGGTATGGATCTAAATATTTTACATTCTCACACCCACTAATGTGTAATGACCCCTCTATTATACACCAAGGTTTAGTCTATTAGATTCGGGGTTAGAAAGATAGCTTAACAGTTTTGCATACTGCTCTTTCAAAAGACCTGGCTTTGGTTCCCAGACCTAAGTTGGATGGTTCACAACCACTTGTAACTCCAGCTCTAGAGGATCTAATGCCTCTGGCCTCCGAAGGCACCCTCACATGCACATACCCTTA